TCTAATTCCGTTACAACAGAAGTAAATAATCAAATATAAGAAAATTGTAAGACAGCAAACTTAAACCACAGGCTGGGCCTCACTGTTGCTATCCTTCCTCCCCATGCATTAGACCTGAAGTTACCTTTCAAACGCTTCTTTTCATATGCTACACCTAATTCACCAAAATTACAGTACTTAGGAACTGTGCAAGCTTTAAATATATTTATTATCTGCTAATTAACCCCACTCTACTCATTACAGAAGATCAAGAAAGCTAACAGTAACATGAACACATTCATTTTCTTCTCGTTTTCTTCATCTAGTGAAGTCAGTTGTGAAATAACAGGAATGACAAAGAAATAGAAGCTCATACCTGCTCAGTAATTCCAGTCCAGCAGAAAACTCTGGTGAATGCTGAGCAGTTCTATAAGGAAAATGTAAATGTACAAACATTATTTAACAGAAGGCTGTTATACGCCATGTAGGCATACACGCAAATGTGCATTTGACAGACATGCTAAGCACAGGAATATTTGCTACTGTTCACTTTCACATTTTGTCAATTCATGTTTAAAGTGCATGATGCAGCATATGTTAAAGAATATTCCAAACCTGGTCTTCCCTGTTATTTTGTGGTAGTTCATTCTTAACCGTTCCTGACTCTTTGATTTGAAAACTGCTCGCATGAAACTCCTTTTTGTATAATTGACAAGTATGCAGGATGAGCACTGGTTTAAGTTATAATACTGGACAGAAACATTCTAAAAATAAGACTACTGTCAAGTTCTTATTATCCTCAGTAAAAAATTTTTAATTTTAATACATGCTACAGTAAATAATAAGCTAAAAATGTTTGTCAGTCTAGCGTGCTATTGATTTCTTATTTGATGCATTCATTGCTAACAGCCTGAAACATGAAAGTAACGTACCATCAGGTAAAGAAAATAAACACAGCAGTACTTTTAAAGATGTATTATGTGAAGATCTTGATGTCATCCAAGATCAGTCTCTTGGAAGATTATCAGGATAGGTAATTTTTCACTGTCATCCAAGCAATTTGAATGGAAAATACAAATAACGCAGATAAAATCTTTTTTTCCCCTTGCATCAAGGGAAAAATCATAGATTCAGTGAGGTGAACAGTCTTCACCAGTAGGTCTCTAGTTAAATCTCCTGCTCTATGCAAGGCCAGCAATGCCAGCAGACCAGCTTGTTCAGAGCTTTGTCCTCCTGCAACTTGAAAACCTAGACAGTCCTCCCCTATAGTTTACATAGGTTGAAACAACATACTAAAGTGCAGAGGATAAAAACCAGCCATGATTCTTAAAGGTTCTTGCAGTAGAGATGGTGCTTCCACTTTCTGTTCTCCTGTTCTACGTACATTTTGTACAATAAATGGTTCATTTTTGTTTTTACGCTAAAAAAATTACAGTTTTAGTACATGAAACTCACAGAGACTGTAGAAAATCACATATCTGTTTACTGCAACCTGACTCTTTTGCAGAGTATTACAATCAAAAATTTAGGCATATCAAAGTTCTATTAAGCCAAGTATATAATCAAAATGAGAATATTTTCTGTTACTAAAATAAGATTCTGCAAAATTCAATATAAATGTTGTTGTAAATGCACTATAAGAGCCCTTTTCACATTTTTCTTTAACAATAACACCTGGGATTAATGCTATACATTAAGGTGCACATAAGTACCTCTGTCTGCTTTTTTTTGCTTCTCTTGATTTATCGCCCAAAGTCTTCAACCTATAAATCAAAACATGTAAGTATTAGATGTTTCCAACAGAGAACAACTTGTCTGAACACATAACACGCTAATTCCAGTCTATTACATTTGATTTTATATCAGCTTATTTCAGAAATGAATCCAATTTCACTTGATTCTGCAGAGACTGTGATATATAATTATTGCCACCTACACTGATTCTGAACAGTAAGCTTTTTCTACAAATGCATTGAGTAACTGGGGACAAAAAAAAAGTTTATCAGGAGCTACATATTCAAGTCATTCAGCTCTGGATACTTCAACTACTTCCCTTAGAAAACAAGTACATCTCTGCATACAAATAGCCAAACCATGCTGAAGAATGTCTCCTATAAAAATTCACATGTGCCAAGGACAAGCATGACAGTCAGACATATTCGCACCCACTTGCCATAACACTGTCAACAGAAGAGTAGTATGAGTACTTTTTATCTGCCAGCTACTACAGAGCACTGCTAACTAGGCAAAAGTTAGGTTTGTTTCACCTATGGCCAGTTTCAAAGTGACTGGTATCTTGCTTCTTTAAAATCAAATTTCTTAAAACAACAAAACCAAGAAAAAAATGAATAAACAAGAACAAATATTCCCCCTTTCTGCCCTAATAAATAAAAAATACCAACAAATAAATAACAAAGAAAACAAAGCCCTCCACTACTACCATACAGCTCTTTGCACTTTTATTTTTCAGTCAACCTGTATGTGTTTGCTAGGCTATCACGAGAGAGTGTGGAACAAAAACCTGCTTGTTCTCTGCCCATCAAGATGATGGATGTCCTCTGGCATCCCAGCTGACTGGAACAACAAGGGATAGGAAGAAATAAAGGACACAAATAAGAGCAAAATGAAATGACCCATGAGCTCCAAGGATCTGTTCTAGCCACTACACAGAGACACATGATTCTGAGCTACCCAGTGCCTGAGCAACACCCCTGATGCAAAGATAACCCAGAATAAGTTCAACTCCCACAGTCTTCACCACCTTCTAGGAACCGGTTGACTATCTAAAAGATGACATGTTAAGGCAGGTCTGCACTCTCTGTTTGAGAGCTGCTCTTAACAGTCAACCGAGTGGCAACAAGCACAGCACTCTGAGGAACACTGTTCCAGAAGGCACAGCAATTTGCCCTTCTCTCCAACCACGTTCCCCAGTGTGCACCTCTGCCTGTAAAAGCAGCACTCTGCTGCATGCAGGGATTGAACAAAATGCTGGCTCACAATTGCCAGCTCTTTTATTAGGATATGTGTCATGCAGTCAGAAGAAAAGGTTAAAGGATGCATCACCAGGCTTCATAACATTGACTTCCTTTCAGCAATGCGCTCTGTACAAAGTACAGGCAGTGTGAACCACAGCACTCGTCAGTCTGATAGAAGCATACAAATTGCTGCCTGAGCACAAAGACAGCTTGCCTCTTTTTTTTTTTTTCCTTCTCCTTCTGTAAAAGATTGCTTGCAGTTAAATGGGTCAAAATCTAGACACCTAACTCACAGGAGACACAGACGTAGATAGGAGACACATCTGAGCAGGGGAATGAGAACTCATTTTTTTTGCACGTTGGCTAACAACTTCAAAGTGCTCCTTCTGCAAGCTACATGACCCCTACATTGGTGTTTTTCAGCTGTAAATAACTGCTCCCTTATTCCTTTGGAACAGATACTCTCCTTAGAAGCCCTGGAAAAGATGGTACAGAAGATCCAACTGCTCCAACTGCATTCATGCACAGTTAACAAGTCAGTCGCTTTTACTGCTACTTCAGAGAATAACTCAAAACATGATGGCTTTGAGATTGCATCATCTAGTGAGGGAAATGGGGGTGCAAAGAAGGACAATTCACGTTCTGGTGGCGATATGGGAGAAAGACCAATGCTTTCCACAACCTCTGGCTACCAGGTCTCCAAGATGCACTTTATGGCAACAAAGATGCACTAAAAAGGGGTCACCCTGAGAAAGACCATTAACGGAGCTCCTGAAACACAAAGATGGAAATGATAAAAGCTGCTCCCAAAGCAGATCAAAACAAGGCAACGCAAGGAAGGAGGCAAATTAGAGAGCACACAAAAACATACTGGCTCTCTGCAGTAACAGATGCCAGACGAAGTTAAATGACCATCAGATCGTTTCACCATGTGAATGACACCATTTATAAAAGAAAAGGGGGGGTGGGGGGGGGGAGGTTGTGCAGCATTTGGATGCTGCCAGGTTAAACCACAACAACACGGAGTCTACCCTAAAAAGAGGTGGTGAGGGAGCACAGGGCGGTATGTTGTACTTCGTAACGCACACTGCTTCCACTCATCCTGCGCTCCTTTCCCTCACGTGACAGCAACTCCCGTCTTTCAAGGAAAAGAGAAGCTTTTCAGCCGCCGGATCACAATTACGTTAATTCTGACCCGGAGGTCAGCCGCCTCATAAAACATTCAGGCTCGTCCATCGATCCCAGGCATATCTTCGCCCTTTCTCCAAGCAGCGGTCTATTCCTCTCCTCCAGCCCCGGCCGGCCGCTGCCTTCCCATCCCCTCGGAGCCCCTGTCCCTCGGTTCCCGGCCCACCAGCGGCAGGCAGGCACCGCAGCCCCGGCCCCTCGCCCTTGCTGGAGGAGGGAAGGCCGCGGCCCCGCCTCCGCGCTCTCCTCCTCTTCCTCCGTCCTGCTCCCCCGCTCAGCACCCGGTCACCCGCTCTCCCCCCCCCCCCCCCGCGCGTCCTGCTCGGCTCTCACTACCGATCCCCTCCCGCCCTGCCGCCCCCACGGCCCAGGCGGCGCGACCCACCCCGACGTGAAGTCCTGCTGGACGCTCAACAACCGCTCCCGCAGCGTCTCCAGCATCGTCCCGGCCTCCTACCGTAGCGGCTGCCGGAGCGGGGCGGGCTGGAGGCGAGACGAGGCGGAGCCTCAGCCCCCACCCCCATCCCGCGACGCCTCTCTGCCGGCCCGCCCCCAGCGGAAGCCCGACCCTCTGTTGCTGACATGGGGGAGGTGCGGGGCGGCGCAGGGAAGGGCTATGGAGAGCGTTCAGATCTCTCGAGATGCAGCTCGAGGTTTTGTAAAACGCGCAGTCAGCGGCTGAGTAGTTCCAGCCCCTTACCGTAACGTCACCGTCGTCGGTGACGCTGTGGTAGGCGTGATCTCAGGGAATCCTCCTTTGCAACAAAGTCTTAAAAGCCTGGAAAGTGAAATTCTCGGGTCTCCCACAGGCTGCTGGGTGTCCTGGTGGATGATAGCTTGGCCGTGTGTGACATGGTGGCCCAGAAGGCAGATGGTATCTGAGGGCGCATTAAAAATAACATGAGCAGGAGGTCCAGGAGGTGATCCCTTCATTCTGCCCTGGTGAGGCCACAATTGGGCTCCTGTGTGCAGCTGTGGGCTCTCCAAGGCAGGGAACTTCTAGGGAGAGTCCAGCAGAAAGCCACAAATACAACTGGATGCCTGGAGCATCTCCGTTACAAGGAAAGGCTGAGAGACTTGGGTCTGTTCAGCCTGGAGAAGAGGAGATTGAGGGGATCTCATCAATGCTTGTAAGTACCCGATGTGTGACAGTTGAGTGGATGAGGCCAGGTTCTTTCCAGTGGTTTCCAGCAAAGGATAAGGAGCAAAAGGCAAAAATCTGCAACATGAGAAGTTCCAACAATCATGAGGAAGCAATTCTTTAGTGTGAGGGTGACAGAGGGAACTGTGAGGGAGCAGGCTGCCCAGAGAGGTTGTGAAGTCTCTCTGGAGATATTCAAAACCTTCCTGAGCACTTTCCTGTGTGACCTGCTCTAGAGAAACTGCTTTAGCAGCGGGGTTGGACTCCATGGTATCCAGACCATCCCTGGTTGGCAGGTCCCTTCCAACCCCTGTGATTCTGTAATACTTTATATAGGTGTTAGTGATTCTTAAGAAGAGTGAGAGACATCCCCCCGAAAACACATGAACACAAAAACATAGTCCTGTAGTTATTACAAATAGTAAATGACACAATTAGAGGTTTTCATTAAGCTTCTCAAAATTATATATTCAAATAACAGCTGTTTCCAGAGGTGTAATGAGTCCGAAGACAGCTTAGAAGGAATCAGATCATTTCAGAGCTACTGACAGAAGATGGCCTCCCACCATGTATGTTTTCAGCTAGTATTTGAAGACACAGGAATTATATGAATCTTTTGATTCTTAAATTTTCACTGAATTGAGATCTGTTTTTAAGAATAAAATTGACTGGGATTTTCAAGTGAAAACATTGTATTTATTAACCCATTAAATTTTGGTTAAAAGTTCAGAAATTTTCAGGCAGTAGAGAGCACTGAGTTAATTTCTTACAGGTAGAACATATGCAGACAGGGACTGCTGTGTCTGTCATTAGATACTGAATGGATCATAATGGCCCTTAGGTACACTCAATCAACTGGAATATTGACACCATAATCCCTTTCATCCTCCACTTGTGTGCTGTTAGAGCCATGAGATCTGTAGATTGTTTCTGAAGTGGCTTGTTGAAAAGCAGAGTTGCTCTGTGGCCTTAATACAAGGTAAGAGCTAAATATCTTCTAAGAGAAGGATGACTGGGTGACAGGGTTAGTCACTATACGTACTGGCATTTGTGTAGCTCATCTTGAGGTCAGAAAGGTTGCTTTCATGGTAGACAGCATATGAAGATCTGTAGCAAAGCATGTGACATTTATACACTATTTTCATTTTGCTTAAGCCAACACAATGTTTGAAAGTGCAGACTTTCTCATTCCCTGCATAGGTCAGCCTTAATACTAAGAGAAGAAGGACTTGAATCAGCAAGTTTGATGTATTTGCAGACAGGAATTACAAATGCTGGCAGAAGCTCTGTGATCTGACCTTAGGTAATATAAAAGTTGTGGGAATGTAAGTTTTCAAGAAACGGGGATTTTAATCCTTAATTTTCACCTTTCCTTTGAGAAATTTGAACTTCTTCAGTGTTGTATATTTTCATTTTTGTTGTGAGTTTTTCAACCGCTGTTGCTCTTTTAATTCACAGTAAATATTTCTAAACGCCTGTTAAAAAGAAGCTATGCAGAAACAGCTGTCCTACTGCAAATTCATTGCCATTGCTGCCTAAAATTTGGGAAAAGAAATGTGTCAACTTAGTTCTAACAGTCACAGTAATCCTAGAAATGCCAGAACAGAGGAGACTTGTAAAAGCAGATACTCAAGGGCAGTAAATTGTATCCCATGTAGAGTTTTGTTTTACAGGTTCTTAGGAATGTAAAATAAAGGAGTGTCTACAATCCTGCCACCTCTCTAAAGTTATCAGGTCCCATGCTTAACTCAATTTCTATTTTTTTTTCTTTAAAAGTTGAGTAAGCCCAGTTCCTTTATTTCTTCTTGTAGTCACATTCTAAACTTCTTATTCATACTGCTATGCTCTGAACATTCTCCATTTAATCCAGAAAGTGAGGAGCTCTAGCATTCCCATCATCATTGCATGGGATGGAATTGCATGGCTTCATTCTGAGCCCTATATGAGATTACTTAATAATACAAATTAATTAATGTACAAGAGCATTGAATTTCAAAAATTGTGTTCATATATCATGATAACTCCTCATTAGCTGGGCACATCGATTTTTTGTTTTTATTTTTTTATTTATTTTTTTGGACAGCAATGGAAGCTTCTGAAACAAATACATAACTTTCAACACAATTCTGCATGAAATTAATTTGGATCTAGTTTTACGCAGATAAAATTCATCCTAAATAACTTTTTAATATCAATGAGCTGTTCTGTTAATTTAGTGATTATTTAACAGGTGATTATTTGATACTAAGACTCAAATTCGAACATGATTTTGCTACTTTATTTGCTTGCTTTCCTGGTATTATTAATACAGGTAAAACCTTGTGTAAGTATTCTGCATGGCTATACAGGTTTCTACAACAAAAGCATAAGCTTTCTGTGCTTTGCATATATGTAAAGAACAGTGATGTAAATGGGAAGCAACAAATATGTAAAGCAAAAAGCAAAGAAATGCATTTGACTAGATAACCCAAGGGGGAATTGAGGGCCCTTTTGTAGATTAGCAGCTCTTTGAGGTGCAAGTAAGGCTGCATTTTTATAACAGCTTAAGCAGACCAAAGTCAGCCCTAGTTCTTTGCATGTTTCCACATTTTTCCAGGCCTTCCTGGTCCCTGAAGAACATGAAGTCCTTCTGATGGACAATCCAAAAAGCATTTTATGTAACTTACTTACATTTTACCTAAGTATATTATGTTAGTTACTAATTTAATAAGTAACTCTGACTGTCAGTTTAAACAGTTGCAATGTGAAGAACAGAGATACAAACGTATGTTATATATGTTCTTTCACCTGTGAATCTTTGAATGCTGGCCTATTTGGTAAAGGTACAATATTGTTTGCACCTAGTAGCCTATCATAAATTTGAATCCAGGTTCCTTTTCCCACATCAAAGCCTCATAACCATGCTTTGCATGCAGTTGTGAATGGTTCAAGGTCTGAAGGAGAAGTGGGGGCCAGCTGCTCTGTAAGGGACAGAAGCTGACGGAAATCACTCAGCCTGGGTTCAGACATACAATGCCCAATTGGGGTGAACAGGTCCAGAGATGGTAGTGAGATTCAGCCGAGAGTCCAGATCATCAGGAAACCTCAAGGTGATGGGGGCAGAGCTGAGGTCAAGCCAGAAATTCCATTCTCAGGTCAAGGTCATGTTTGGAGGTGGTAGCCAGGGTCGCAGTGCGGTGATCAGCGAGCAGAGCTGTAGTGATAAGGCAAATCAGTTCTTCATAGGTGGCTTTGTATGAGCCATTTGGCTACTTTTTGCATCAGCCAAAGATAGGTAACAAAGAGCTAAACTATGTTTAGTGACATTGCCTCAGTGTATACGCTTATGAATATGGAGCAGTGCCTTTCACATACTGTCCCACATACCCAAAACATTTGAGAGAGCATCTCTCACAGAAAGAACAGCCGTGGGACTTGATCTCCTGGTTTATAAAGCTTCAAAGACACGTTTTTAGATGTTAACATTTTTGTGGACGTCTTTCTGACAGCATGAAAGAAGATATATGTTTAATATTTTTTCTATGGGATTTTTGAAGACTATGGGATTTTTGAAGTCAAGAGCAAAAGTTTGTATGTGTGGTATCCCACAGTAAGACAATGATTAAAGGAGGCAACCCGTAGCTATATGTAACTATGTAGATGTCATGGGAAAACACATCCTGAAAGGAGTGACTATCTTGAACAGCACTGCTCTTATCCTGAAATACACCCAGATTGAATGGGATGACTTCATATTTTTTATTCTTCTGTCAGCTGCATTTAGTTGTGAAACTGAGTGCAAAATTTTTGCTATTACCACATAACAGAACTTGAAATCTATGTAGAATGCAGGATGGTCTGTCTGCTGTCTTTCCTTTCCCCACATCCCCTTTTCTTCCTTCACTTCATTCCTAGTCTTCTCTCTTTTTGCTTTTTTAGTAGTCAGTCAAGGCCATCACATCCTCAGTGCTGCTGTTGTCAGTGAGACAGCTGAAGACCAAATGTTAACTGTGCTGCTGCTTGAAGCCTGCCAGATATGAGACTGAGTAATAAGATTGCGTGCTCTGACTGTTTTTCCACCAGTGAGCTTTCAAGTGGGGACTGAAACTGTATGTTCTATTCTGAAGTTAAATTCTTTGAAGTTAATACAGCATCTTCCTGTCAGAAAACAGTGGTCAAAACTTCTTCTGAGGAGCACGGCTCAAATGAAGTGCTGATTTAAAGAGTATGCAGTGAAACACCCAGTTCCACTAGAGGGCACAGTTGTGTGTAGAAAAACAAAATAGAGCCGTGGCAGCGTTCGTTTTCCTGGAAGTACATTTATCTCTAATGAGCAAAACATTACTGATACACTTTAAGTGCAGTTCTTAGATTATTTTGTCTCAGAAGGACATCTCAAAAACTCTACTGGTACAGATGGCATCAATCTCAGTGGGAAGTAGCCGCTTGTGTTTGATGTTGTCCCAGTGTTGCTTTCCTAAGCTCCTTCCTCCGGCTTAGGCAAGAGAAAATTGCTGTTACTGCTCTGCTTGTACTTCCATGGACAATACAGATGATATTAAAAAAGTAAAAATAATTTTTAAAAAAATCAGACAAGAGAATTAGGACCTTCCGTCCCAGCAGAATACTGGGGTATGCTGTTTCCAGTGACTTTTATATTGTCACTTCTGTCAAAATGATGTAGGGGAATTGACTTAGTAACAATTGATTTCAAATGAAGCCGTGATATTGTGTCTTTGGGAGAAGGACCTTTCATCTTACATACAGCAGTCTATATTGAGCAGGTTTAGCCTGTTAATTAGAAGACACATTGTAGACTGCACAGCTTATATAACTGATCTTATCCCCACTGTCAAGGAATTTAAAAGGATGTATTAAGAATGACTGAATGCTGTACAATAACATTTGAAGTAGTATTAAGTAGTTATGTCTGTGTCTGCTGTTTTTTGTTGCTTGTGTATAATTTTACTTGGGTAGTCACGTTAGATGTTGCCCTAGGCGGTAAGGCATAATTGCTTTGTCTGAGGAAAAGGTTGTGTATTCTCCTCTTCACTGCATTGCCAAGAAAATGCCAGTGTGACTACAGCTACACCTGCAGATGTGCGTTTGGATGTGGGGGAGAGAACTTATGCAAAGCTTTTGTCTTTCAGAGGTGTTCCAGGAGTGAAACCTCTTCTGTTGCTATATGCTGTGTCAGCACTGGGAGGCTCTACTGATTCTCTGTGCTGAGGTAAGTGAAGCAACAGAAACTGTTTACAGAGAGGACTACAAAAACGCTATGAAAGCACTACAAGTGAATGGGACGTGTCATGAAACACAAGGGCATATAATTCATATAAAATATCAATTTCCCCTGTGTTTACTGGTCTACTTTAGTTATTCTGTATTACTTTCTATTTTCTATTAACATGACAAATTTTTGCTCCCCTGAATGCCAGAAGCAAAGTTGGAGGGAAGTAGAATGAAGCCCGGAGTGAGATGTTTGAAGGACAAGCATACTATGTGTCAGCTTTGTTGATCAGAAGCAATTAGCTCAGTGAAACCCAATTAGGGCACAGTTTTAGTTTTATACACACAGACTTTAATCACTCATTATCCATGTGAACTCTAAAGGGAATTACAGGAAACTAACAGGATGAAATGGCTGTTCCTTTGCTGTTAATGTAGGAGTTTGCTAAGTATTTGGTTCTTAACTACTGATTTCAGTGACTTCATCTTACATTAAATCAGCTCTTGTTTTTTTGGATTTTTTTTTCCCATTAGCAGGATCTTAATCATCTGTCATACTGGCCTTTCTGGTGACAATTATCGCATGAGTTAATTTAATTTTTTTATGACTCCTCCTCTTGTTTGCTTCTCTTGCTTAAGGCAATTTTTGTTGACACCTTCTGGCTGGCTGCTGAACATTTGGCTAATAGCTCTTGCAGTTGTCAACTTCATACTGTTTGAAATTGAATTTTCTTTCCTCAGTTTGTATGGGTCTGCTGTTTACTAGCCTGTTATGCATGGAATCTAATCCACTTATGCTGTAAGAAGCTTGGATACAGAACTTTTTTTTGTCACATTATGTTTTATTTATTGAGCATAATTTAGTTTGAATGAAATAAAATAGTCATAATGGTTCTTGTACTGTTGCAGAACTTCCTTATCGCAGTGCATTTTGTCAGTTTGATTTATTTTATCTCTCTGTTTACAGTTGTTGTGACGATCAGAGTTGCTTTACTAGTTACAGCAAAAGTACCTCATCTTCCTGGAAAGCACTCCATATTTCAAATTACAAAGCCAACTTTGGGGTAGACCTGAGAAGTGTGTAGGCAAGTTTTGATTTAAAGTGGTGTCTGCCTTCTCTCTCTCTATCTCTCTGGTATATTTTTCATTTGGAAAGTAGCTGTCATTGCTGTATATCAAGATGCATTGCATAGACAGGGAAACATTGTTCATACAGAAAACCATTGGGATTGACAGTTATGTAGTTATGGAACTACGTCTATTCTGCCACATCTGAAAGTAAGAGCACTTCAGTGCCAAATTTAAGGCACTACATTTGGTGATTCTGACGTGTATATCCCAGTATGTAAAATGGCAAAACTGGATTGGATCTGTTTGTTGATGATATAATGCTCTGAGGTACACTATTCGCTTCTGTAGGATGTCTTCTTGGTTTGTACTTTCCAGGAACAGAAGAGAATGAGGTTAACATTGTTTGGGCCAAATCTCTGACACAGAAGGCATGGGAGGCTGAAAGAGCCTTGAGCAAAAGGTCTGCATTAAACTGAGAAAGAAAAAATAGTTTCCTGTTAGAGACATGTATGAAATCTCACCTTATCTCAGTAGCAGAGATATACACCATTTACAGCAGAGTAAGGGGACCAAGTAAAGCTTAAAAATAATATTTTTGCTCTCAGAAGAGCCCTCACTGTTAGTCACAACAACATTTCTAGCATACATATTTCTCGAAGATAGTTCCAGGCATTCAAATTGATATCCTGCATCTTTCTTACTGAGAAAGGGCAATAAAATAAACCTAGACAGGTTTTTCATCTTTCCTTAAAACAAAAAATTTTACATCTTTCAGAAGTTCTTTCTGTGCTGAGTATCAAGTGGTGCCTTAAAAATCATGCTTTTAATCATCATAACTTTTAATCCCTTGTTCTCCAGAATTTCGTGCCTTTTTTCTGCATGCCTCTAACAATGATGTGATGGAGTTAAGAGTTTAAACAAACATTTATTGTTCAGATTTGGACTTCAGCATTATAATATGACTATGAACTGCTCTCAGATCTTCATACCAGAAACTTTTGTTTGAGTGCAAAATTTTGAGGTCTGGCTTTAGAAGGCTAGAGTCCTTTGCTCTTCCAACTCTGAATTTATTATTATTATTATTATTATTATTATTGCTTGGCTTCATAAATTGTCTTGATTTGTTTATTTTCTTAGGTAGATGCCAAATCCAGCAGTTCCAGCTAGGAAATGATTTTCACTGAGTAAGCAATAAACAGGCTATTGTTCGTATTACCACTGTCTGTACATGGTAGCAACATTAAATACTTCACTATTGAAAAGGAAGAAAATATATTTTACAGATATGTTTCCATATGGTGTGTTCTTCTGGACACTAAGTTGAACATGAGCCAGGAATATCTCCTTGTTGCAATGTAGGCTAGGCTATCCTGGGCAATGTTAGGGAGTCAGCCAGTCAAGGGAGGTGACTGCTTAGCCCTGGTGAGGCCATACCTAGATTATTGTGTCCAATTCTGTGTTCCCCAGAAAGAGAGAGGCTTGAACATACTGGAGGGAATCCATTGAAAGGCCACAAAAGTGAGTAAAGGACAGGAGCATCTCTGCTATGAGAAAAGGCTGAGAGAGTAGAGACTGTTTCACTTAGAGAAAAGAAGGCTCACGGGAGGTCTTGTCATTGAATATGAATACCTGGAGGGAACGTGAAAAGAATACAAGGTCTGTGCAGGCAAGAGGCAATGAGTACAAACTGAAACGCAGGAGATTCATCTGAATATCACTGGGAGGGTGACTGAGAATTGACAGAGGTTTCCAATTGAGGTTATGGAGTCTTCATCCTTGGTTTTTTTCAATATCCATCTTGCATGGGCCTGGACAAGCTGCTCCAGGCAAACTTGCTTGAGTAGGTTTTAGATTAGATGACCTCCACAAGTCCCTTCCAATCCCAACCATCCTGTGACTCTGTAACTGCTTATCATCTATGTAATCTTACTTGCTTAGAATATAGTACTGTATTTTCAGCTTATGACCGTTTAGGACCTCATTTGTACTTCCTTTTTATGCATTTGTACAAGTTTCATAAGTTGACTTCACTTCTGTAGCCTATACACTAAAGGCACAAATCTTTGAGAGGAGAGAATGCCCCAGACTTTATGTGTAAGACTGAGCTAAAACTGTGTTTTCTGATACTTACTGTAATATCATAGTGGTATTTTCTGCAAACTCTTCAGTCCCTAGGAGTAATTCATTTATTTCAGATTAGCTCGTATGATACTGGGGTTCTGAAAATCTTTTCTAAATATCATTAAACGATTATTTGTATAAATACAAACATACAAGGTTTTACATATTCACTGAGGGAATTTGTTGTCATATATCTAGAATTCAGGTCTTGTCAAAGTTCTCAGACCTAAATATTCATGTTAGTTCAAAGATGTATTTTAGCATGGGATTCCATGCCTTTTTCCCCGTAAAGATTCTGTCTAAGAAAAAAAGAATAATACAATAAAAGCCATATTTTACATATACGTGTTATACATGCATTACTGCATATAAATCGTAATGACTCTTTCCAATACTTGAACTTTTGCAGTGGCAGAGGAAGATCTTAGCTACTTTGTACTGGAGTCTGTATTTTATTTTTCATTAAACCTACTTGGCTTTAAATGGACCATTCAGTGTCTTCAAATTTTAAGACAGACTGAAGAACAAACTCCAGGAGGAAAAAAAAAACCACAAAACAATCCAGCTTTATTTACTACAACTTAGTAATTCTGTTGAGTTCATATGATTTGAGTTTACATGCATGTATTGAAGATGACTGTTGTCCATTCTGTCATTACCAGTATAAGAATGCATCATCCTCTTCAATTCAGTTTATTGTTTGAAAATGCTTTTAACAGCTCTCATTTCACATTTCTTTGGTACTATAAAGTGGAAAAACTTGCTTTTCCTTCCATGCAGAAATGAAACACAGGTGCTCTTCTCTCTCCAGTAAAGTGCATCTTATTGTAAATAAATCACCACTTAAATAAATTTAGGCTAAAAGGCAGGAATCACTTGTTTTATAGTATGAATGTATTTTCTGCGTCAGACATTTGCACATTCCTTTATCCAAGGCAAAATCTGGAGTTTTAAGACACAAAAGTAAGTTTGTCTATGAACAGAGGAAGTAATTAAGTTCTTCAATGATTTTACTCCCACGTTACTCAGTCCTTCCCATCTTCAGTGCAAAAGTGCTTCTTCCAACTCCTTCCTGTGTCTTTTGCCAGTTTGGCTGAGAAAGTGGCAACATATGCTGTTGCTGAAATAAGTATGTGCTGATTGCCTGTTAGTTATACCCACATCCATTGGCCAGCTGGCTGAACTGCAACTGGCTTTTCCATATTGATAACATTAAATTTGGTCCATTTCTAGCAATAGCGTTTTCATGAAACGTGTAGGATTTTAGTATCTTTGAGCTGCTCAACGGACTCGCAGGTTAGGAGGGGGAGGCCAGGCAGTACAGTTGCATGAGTCTCACTTCCTTGAGAAAACAAGTTTGAAATTCATGTCAACATATACTCACATCTCAGGAAAAAAAGAACTTGAAAGTCCATCACAGCTAATAAACAGATCAGAACTATTGGATATTCTGGCTAAAATTATTCAGAGAACAGAGCAAGTGTTTGTTTTCTAATGCCATTAGGAGAACCATTTGCCAAGCTTGGGTGCTTATTGAAGTTAGTGTGATTATGTAAGTGTAACATAATGGAGCATGGCTTTTAAAAGTTTATTACACTATTTTCTTCCATGATGAATTCTGATGCAGCAAAGCAAAATACTTAACTTTTAAAATAACAGATCTACTTTTCCAAGGTGTTTTGAAGTCAGGCAAGCTTAAAAGCAGGTACTGTACGGTCAGATCCACATATATACAAGCAAAGGCAGGTTCTTCCATTATCTTAACAAAATTCTTCTCATTAAGGAACATATTTAGGCCTGAAATGTCAAAGTAGTACACTTCATTTGTTTGTGACCAGCTTGCATCTAAAGTACTTTTGCATACATAAGGCATTGCTATTTACTCAGTTCAGCATCTATGTTAAGTGATTCCACGGTACTCCATTCCAGACATTACAGAAAGAATTATTGCCACCTCACTGACCTGGAAGACGAAAAGTTGCCAGTTTCAGTCCTGTTAACAACCCTGGGGCAGGGGAACCATCTAGCAGAAACTCATCAGCCTGCAGAGTCTGACAGATGAACAAGGTTCCTGCTGAGCAATTTCAGTGAATAGATGCATTCTTCCATCAATTACATTCTATCAAATTGGCCTTTATCTTTTGAAACCAATTTCTCAAGAGATTTTCTAGACAGCTCTTGTAAACAAGAAAAAGTCTAATATTAATACCCTTTAATTTGCTTACTTCTAGCTCTGCCTTCTTCTAAAGAAGAAAGAAGAAATGAATGTATCATTTACTGCTTTTTAAAGAGAGTAGGGCTTGGCTGAGTTTTTTCCATTTATCAACTATTCAAGTTACTTCACTTAAGGAACAGGATTCACAAACACTTCAAAAAAAATTACCATCTGTATGCTGTAGCAGTTATCTTTAGTATAATGAAACAGGTCTTCTTGTTGGTAGTGGTAGAATTCCACATTATCTTACCTTACTGTTGACACAGTCATTTGCTCACTTTTCCCCATCTTCCCAGTGAGAAGGAGAGAATAGAAAAAAGAAAAACCACAAAAGTAGAACTCGTGAGTTAAAGTAAAACTGTTTACTAAGAAAAGGATAGTAGTTACAATTATATATATATATGTATTAATGTATATAGCAAGTGCAGTCAACACACCATAGGAATGGGTTGCCATCCAGGCTTGAGCAGTGGGCCCAGGTGAACCTTATGAGGCTTCACAAATCCAAGATGCAAGGTGTTGTACCTGGGTTGAAGCAACATCAACTACAAGCTGGGGGATGAAAGGATTGAGTGCAGCCCTGCCAAAAAAGACCTGGGTGTACTGATGGATGGCAAGCTGGATATATTCCTTGCAGCCCAGAAAGCCAGCCATACCCTGGGATTTATCCAAAAAAGCATGGCCAGTAGGTTAAGGGAGGAGATCCTGCTTCTCTACTCTGTGCTGGTGATACCTCACCTGGAGTACTGCATCCAGATGTGGAGTCCTCAGTACAGCAGAGACATGGACCTGTTGGAGTGCATCCAAAGGAGGGCCACAAAAGTGATCCAAGGGGTGAAAAACCTCTGCAATAAGGACAGACTGAAAGAGCTGAGGCTGTTCAGCCTGGAGAAGAGAAGGCTGTGAGGTAACCTGATAGAGGTCTTTCAGTATCTAAAGAGGAGCTCCAAGAAAGAAGGGGAAGAAGGCTTTTAGCAGGGTCTGTAGTTTGCGGAAAAAGGGGAAATGCTTCAAATCTTAATGTAAATGGATGTTGGTTAGGTATAAGGAAAAAGTCTTCAACAGTGAGGGTGGTGAGGCACTGGTATAGGTTGCCCAGAGATGTGGTGGATGCCCCATCCCACGAGACTTTCAAGGCATGGCTGGATCAGGCCCTGGGCAACCTGATCTAGCTGTGCATGTCCCTGTTCATTGTAGGGCAGCTGAACTAGATGGCCTTTAAAGGTCCCTTCCAACTAAGGATTCTATTATTCTATTATTCTAAGTGATACACAAGGAATTGCTCACCACCCCCTGACCAATGCCCAGCTAGCACCTGGAGCAGAGGAAGAGAGAGAGATGAACTCCCAATCCACTTCAAAATGCCTTCCTTATGATTTCATATGGTGTGGAATATCCCTTTGGATAGTTTAAGTCAGCTGTTCTTAGTATGTTCCCTCTCAGCTCCTTGGGCCCTCTGCTGAGAATGGCCTTGGCTCTGTACAACACTGCTTAGCAGGGAACTATAAGCATTGGAGTGTTATCAACACTGTTTTTCTCCTAGAAACAAATAGATAGCATCATATCAGACACTTAAGAAAAATCAACCCCAGCTGAAACTAAGACACGTAGCTAAAAGAGACTTCTTTCACCAAAGCAAACATGATTTTATGATATGGTGACATGCATAAATGAATGGAACTAAATTAATGTATGCCTGGTGATTTATTTGATTAAATAAGTTTAAGTACTCATTTCTGTGATGGGTTGACCATGATTAAGGGCCGAACTCCTACCCAGCCATACGCTTACTCCTTGGCAGGACAGGGAACAAAGATAAGAACAGGAAGATGAACAAGAAAGGTTGTGTATTGAGATAAAGATGGGGCTTACTAATTATTGTTGAGGGCTAAACATACTCAGTGGCAATGCTTATAATCATGTCTATCAGAGCTATATATGTCATAGACAGTACTCTTTAATACTGTAACCATAGAGGTAGTCACTGGGAACTTAGTTAAGAGATTTCTTTGTTCCTGTTGTCCCTTTAACTATGTATGAGGACTTCGCACGATCTTTTTCAAAAGTGGAACCCAGCCACAAGCTGTGGTCAATTCGTAGAGCTAACAGTTCAGTTCTGATACACGGTAGATTTAAAACCATCTAGTTTGTCTCTACATGCATGATCCCATTATGGTCTGCATGAGTGGCGTTCTCACTAAATCATTTATTTCAATCATATTAGCAGTAACAGAGGTGTTAGTGACTGTTTCTTGGGTTTGAAGAAATATTCTCTCTGGCATCTGAAGCTAAGTGATTCCCTCTTTTGAACACTGTGCAATTTGTAATGCCTTTTTTTTTATCGAATTCATCTCTGTTAATAAGATCTATAATTATTAAGAAGGAAGGCATAACGAGATTGGCTGATTATAATGTAAGTAGTGTAGACAAGTACTTCTAATTCCCCAAAGGATTAATCATGGTGCTAGCATGCTTTGGGCTGCTAGACTGCTGTTTTTAAACATCCTTATTTTAAAGGAATTGTATTTATGGAAGATTAAATCATTAGTTTGGAATGGTCAGCATCTTTTCGTTATTGTATGGGAACTGCTCAGTCACGGCCTGAACCTCTGATTGATCACCTGAGGTGAGCACTGAGTCAGCCACAGGAGCACAGGTGAAGGCAATTGAGCTGCACCTCTCCTAGACCTATTTAAGAGCTGGCTACCAGTGGGGAAGGATCTCTGCTGGAGATCTGCTCTGCTGGAGTTTTGTAAGTGAGCCTAGGATAGGGGTAAGCCTTCTATTTATTCTCTGTTGTTATCATAGTCTGCTTTGCCAAACTCTCTTGTTTATTTTGTGATTATGACATCCTAATATTCTTTGATTATACAGTTATTAATTTCTTCCCTGAAGAAGAAGCAACAGATATCTTGTGTGGAATATGCATGAATTAGCTCTGCTTCTGTGAGTGCAATCTGTGCACCTAAACCTGTAAATATTCAATGATGCAACCACCATAGATTTGTTTCAATATGATGGCGTGTTTGTATGAGAAAGGCATTGCTGCATCACTTGATGTGATTGGTGTAAATATTCCACTTATATCTTTTCTTCTGTATGTGCAAAATGATACAAATCCTAAGTTTCTCTTAGGATTCTCAGAATGTGTCACAGATGCTTTGTATTGAGGATTGGGATAAACAGCAGCATCCTGTGTTTTGGATGTTGTCCTCAGTCTGAACTGTGGGGAAGCTGCCAACCCACTTCTGTCACCCTGCTTCTCAAGGTAGATAATCCTTCCAAGTTCACTTCCTGCCCATCTCCTTAGCAACATGCCACATTCAGACTCAAATGGAGTATCTTTAGCTTATCTGAGGGTTGCTCTCTTTCCTTTTCTAAGCATTTCCTAACATATTTTCTCTTATTCTTTATTGCTACGTGGAGATCTTCGCACTGAAATGTGCAAAAAGGTAGTCTGTGGTGTTTTGAAAGGCTGACTGATACCATGATGACCAAATCAGATGGTTTGTATAGCAGAATATGCCATTAAATTCTGCAATCAGCAATCTTCTGCATCAACAGAATTTAGAAAGATTGTCAACTCCAGGCCAGGGAAAGGTTGGTGACATCAAACCCCGCTAGGGAAAGGTTGCATCTTGGGCTGACAGATGGAAGAGAACAGAATTACAGTGTGCTTTCCGTGTTTTATCTGTCACTATCTGCTGAGGCTAAAGGAGCCTCAAGGAGAGTGAAATCTGGAATTGGTGGTAAAAATGAAAGAACTCCTGGGACATCATCTTGTTTTGTTCTAAAGGCACAGTAAAGCACTCTTCTCTCACCAGTGTGCTATCCATAAGATTATTAGTTCTTGTGAGCTTTGCAAATAGATACCAATGGATGAATTATTGTAAGACTCATTAGAACAGTTCAGAGCAGGGCCACACTGTGCCAGATGTTGCATGAAGGTAATGCAGTAGACTTGTTAGCTGATTATCTCGCACTCCAAACAGGAAACAAAAAGGGTGAGAAGCATGTAGTACTGCTTACGGGCCAAGGTGTGGTTGCATGTAGCTGGCACGGCAGTCTTGCGGTACGGGGGGGATTTTTCCATTAGTCTTTGAGGTTACGTTTTTCCTGGGATAATGTAAGAAGGAAGATGAGAAAGTGAACAGAGAGAACAGGATTAGGAATCAGGCAAAAAAAATAAATAAACTGTGTGAGCTGAGGATAGTACGAAGAAGGGATTTAGTTCAAATAGTTCAGCAGCATACAGAAATAACAGTATTCAAGGAAAAACTCCAGTGAAGAACATGACTTCAGCAATTCACTACTTCAGTATCTCCTGAGGATGTTTCTTGTTCATATCTGCTAACTGAACTGGAGCTTGTATGGCTAAGTCTGGTTGAAGATAGAATCAGGCAAGAGAACTTAACTGTGATCCAGAGCATAAGAATACATACATTGGTAAAAACTATGCAAAGTAAAAGGCTCAGTCACATAAGCAACTAGAAGAACTAGATGGAAAATAATTTTAAATGGACATCTTGTTTAGGATAAGATTAACAATGAGTTAATCTTATCTAAGGAGTTAACAAGTTTTTAATAGTGATTTTTTTATTAGTGCCATGTGGAGGCAAAGGCTTCAGTGTGATTATATCTCTGATTAGACACTTGAAAATCCACGGAGGTAGAAAGGAAAGCAGGCATAGACAAAATAAACACTATAAAACTCAGGGACGTGAAAGAGAGCTTCACGTGGAGACTGGAGGAGTATCTAAATACGCATCTACTTGTTCTCTGTGTGAGATGTCCTTTCCGAACTGATGAATATGTGTGATTTAAATACAGTTCCAGCAGTGTTTCAAAATTTTGGCCATATATTTAGTCATCTTCACAGGGAGTTTGCCAACTTGAAACTTAGGCATTGCAAAAATGTGCAGGCTTGACCTCCATGCTTTTCATAAGTCTCACTGTGTATAGTGACCGTTAGACTCACATTTTCCGTACTGTGTATTTTTCTCTCCCAGCTTTGCTGGAGCCACTGAAAGATAGTAACAACCAAGGGAAAACAGAAACCACAGTCATAGTCTTAGGACACCAAATTTCATGAGATGTCCAAGCAATGGAATACTTTTAGGAGTGAGTAATTTACCCATGTGAATATTCCCTTTTAGTTCAGTGGGTATGTTTTGGCAAGATTAGGCCAGAGAATAGTGCTTTTTTTTTTTTTTTTTCTTCCTTTGCTAACATTTCAATATAGATTTTATTCTCACACAATTTTAAAATCAGTCTGCTTATTAACCTAAAGTACCAACATGTACTAAACATGTATTTGTGGAGACATGGATACCATCCGCTTGTTTGATCTAGG